TACATACACCCAACGAACGACGCTAAAACATTTTTAGTATAAATTTTAGTTTTTAACATTTCAAAATAAACAGTTATTCTTTTTTGGGGGAAGAAAGCTTTTAAACTGTGACACTAACAATATAAATAACAAGCTGTTGTGTTATATGATATCTTATAGGAGAATCCACTCTCTCTCTATCCTCTCTCTCTTTCTCTCTCTCTATCCTAGTTTTACTTTATCTATCCATCTATCTAACTTTTTCATTTTTCTCACTGTTTCACGTTTTTTGTTCTCTCTCTCCCTCTCTCTCTTTTTTTCTTTACCTCATTCCCTCATTTTTTTCTTTCTTTCTCATTCTATTTCTCTTTCTTCCCCTCGCTCTCTCTCTCTCTCTCTCTATCTCTCTCTCTATCTCTCTCTTCTCTCTCTCTCTCTCTCTCTCTCTCTCTCCCTCTCTATATATTTTTCATTTCATTTCATTTTCAAAGTTTTATTCATAATCAACAACATATCAAATAAGTGAATAAAAGTTATGAAGTTGAATATGCGGAGACCGAATAAGACTGTTTGTCTTGTGGTGACCACCGCAGGTAGATACATGAATAGTTAATGAAATAAAATAAGGAAAATAACTGAAGCAGAAAGATAATTGAAGATAAATAAGTAACTGTTCGTGTCATTCATATATAGACATATAACTATGTTCGCTCAGTACATATATAAACACATAAATGTTTAACCATTCATAAAGACCATTCATCCGCATCATTTGTTCTAACGTATATAGTATTAGGTGGTGAAGTCGAGATCCAGTGTCAATAAAAAAGCACGGAATTTTGACTTGAAATGTTGTAGGTTTATGATGGCTCTTAGATGGGGAGGTACAAGTTCTGTCCAAATTTTAGGACCTGTTATTTTTATGCTTGTCTGGATTAATTTGAGGCGAGTTTTGTAGATATAGAAGAGAGGGGAGTGTCTAGTAGTTTTAGATTGAACGGAGTTACTTAATGTGTAAAAGTTGATAAAGTGAGGTGGGAGAAGATTGTTGATAAATTTAAAAACGAATAAAGCAGAGTAGTAAAGACAGATGAAGTTAAGTGGTAAAATTTTTTTTGCTAGGAAGAAGAGTTTAGTATGGGAATCGGGTTTGAGGTTAAAAATTAAACGTATTGATCTTTTTTGAGAAAGTATTAGGCTATTCAGGTGGCTTTTAGGACTATTTCCCCATAGTGTGATGCAGTAGGTTAGATAAGGGTAGATGAATGTGTAATAAAGCGTGCGAAGAGCAGAAAGAGAGTTTATATTTGATTTTGTAGAAGATGCCTGTGAGTTTGTTGATTTTGTCCGAGGTAGTTTGTAGGTGAGAATTCCATGAAAGATTTTCTGTGATGGTGATTCCAAGAAATTTGGTAGACAGGGTGCGGCTTATAGGAACACCATTAACTAATAGGTTTAGGTTAGGAGCTTGGTTGGTGAGTATTTTTGGGCCAAAAATAATGTATGCACATTTCGAATAATTTATGATTAGTTTGTTATTGGATACCCAGTTAGAGTATTTTTGGAGTTCAAGATTGATAAGTTCAGAGCAATCTGGTAGGTTGTTGGAAGTGAAAAGAAGGTTGGTGTCGTCTGCGAACAGTACGCATTTGGTTGAAGGCGAAACGTTGCAGAGGTCATTCATGTAGATAGAAAATAGAAGGGGTCCTAGTATGGATCCTTGTGGTACCCCGTGATGAATAGGAGCGTGCTTTGAAATGATGCTGTCCATGGAAACATATTGTGTCCGTGATGAGAGATAGCTTCTCATCCAGTTGTGAGCTGTGCCTCTTACTCCGTAATGATGTAGTTTGGATAGGAGTATTTTGTGATCGATGACATCGAAGGCTTTGGATAAGTCCAGGAAAATGCCAATAGAAAGATTTTTGTTATTCATTTCATTTAGTATATGCTGAGTGAAGTCAAGAATAGCAAGCTCAGTAGAGTGGTTAGGTCTGAATCCGTATTGGTTGTTGCAGATAGTATTGTTGGAGCAGAAGAAATTAGAGAGTCTTTTAAAGAAAAGTTTTTCAAGAATTTTTGACGGCGGGGAAAGAATGGAGATGGGTCTGTAGTTGTTAATGTCATCTTTGTTTCCTTTCTTGAATACCGGTATGATTTTGGGTATTTTAAATGAGTCAGGAAAGATTCCAGTGCTTAGTGATATGTTGAAGATATGATTAGGTGATGATATGATAGAGAAAATTATGCGTTTGATAAGGAACATGTTGAGTCCATCGTCTGCATAGCTCTTTTTGTTTTTCAAGATATTAACAGTAATTAATATTTCTTGTTCAGTAACAGGATATAAACAAATGGAATGGAGTGTGGATGGGCTCATAAAATCTGTAGGACTACCATAGCTGGGAGGTTGGTTTGAGAGTAGTTGGCTAGCGATGTTTGCAAAGTGGGTGTTGAGAAGGTCACAAATTTCTTGTTTATTTTCAATTGCTTGATTGTTGATAGTTAGTTTGGTGATTGATGAGTTTGGAGGTTGCTTGTTTAGAATTTTTTTGATAGTGTTCCATTTTTGTCCAACATTGTTATGTGCATCTTCAAGTTTGTTAGAGAAGTAGTTTCGTTCAGTTTTTCGTTTAATAGATGTGAACATGTTTCTGAAGCTTTTTAGGTGGCAATGTTGCGGGTGGTTGGATTATTGATTCCATATATATATATATGGAATCGAAATCGAAATATGGCCTTATTTGCAGCATGAATTCGAAAAATAAGTTTATTTTGAATTTTAATAAACTAAACGTTCACCAAAAAACTTTAGTGAGAAAAATCGAAAAAACCAACTACAAACATATTAACGCCAAACATTCGGTAGAATTTATAGAATATTGTAAAAATTGTGGTCTATTACCAACATATATATATTATATATATGTGTGTATATATATATATATATATATATATATATATATATATGTATATATAAATATATATATGGAAGTGTGTTTATATATATATACACTTCCATGTCTGTTTACATACACACACGCGCTTAGACACACACTCACACACTCGTTCACAAACACACATACATACACGCACGCGCGCACACACAGCACTTATAAATCTACGCAAACCCACGCCTCATACACACATTGTATGTAATAGTCTGAGATCTCTTTGCAATCGATCCAGGTCAATGCAACAGCAGTGTCAGGCGCGTTAACCGGCACACCATTTTGCATTTGTGAAGAATGATAAATTCACGTAGAAATTACTGTGATTTTTAATGATATAAATAAACTATATTAATAAGTTTAGTGTTAATGTTGTTGTTTTTTAATAAATAATAATAATAATGAATTATTATTATTATTTTCATAATTTAATGATGTTACCTTGCCTTTGTTTATCGTTATACCTTGAGGCGCTGAATGCTTCTACAGACATTAACAGTGATGTATGTGTGTATGCATGTACGTATGTATGCATGTTTGTATGTCTGTTTGTTTGTATGTCTGTTTGTTTGTATGTCTGTTTGTTTGTTTGTCTGTTTGTTTGTTGTATGTATGTACTTTTTGATATTTGTTATATCTGATACGACAATCAATAGTTTATTATGTATACCATTTTTTTTTCTGCGTGTATCATGTTTTTTATAAGATTTGTATTATATTCTTGTGACATATAATTCATTTCCGTATGATATTTCAACTATCTCTCTACTCTTACGATGTATCATCTATCTTTTATGATATACAAACAATTTTTCCATGATATATAAGCCATCATTTCATGATATTTGTATCATTCTTTCGTGATATATGAACCTGCTTTTTTACGTTAGCTGAATTTTTCTTTTGTATATATTTTTCTTACTCGTATATATCTGCGTGAAATAATGTAATTGTGTATGTTTGTGTGTGTCTGTTTGTTAATACATGTGTGTGTGTGTGTGTGTGTGTGTGTGTAAATGTGTGTGTGTATGTAAATGTGTGTGTGTGTGTGTGTGTGTGTGTGGTGTGTTTATTAGATAAATAATTTAATTATCACTCAGTCTTATATTATAATTTTACTCTATTATTATTTCACTTTCTCTTCTTCTCATTGTTATTATCAATAATAGTATTAATATTAAAACTTTTGTTATTATCATCGCATCAGCGTCATCATGACATCATTATGACATAATCGTGACATCATCTTTATCGTTATAGTCAAAATTTTAAATGATTATTATTCTTTTTCTTTTCTTATTTATCATTCTTCTTCTTCTTATTTCTCTTCTTCTTTTAATTATTTTTCAATTTCTTATAGTTATTATTATTATTATTGCTGTTCTTTTTTTCTGTTTTTTCATATTATTTATTGTTATTGTTATTATCTTCGTCTCGGATTAACGACAGAATGACAAATCCTATATGTATGATAAACCTCCATTTTAAAATAAAACTTTTATGGTCGGAGTACATAGGAAAGAAAGATAAAAATAAATGAATGAATGAATGAATGAATGAATGAATGATTGGATGGATGGATGGATGGATGGATAGATGGATGGATGGATGGATAGATGGATGGATGGATGGATAAATGAATAGCTGAATGAATGAATAGATGAATGAATGAATGAATATATAGATAAATGGAAAAATAGATAGATGGATGGATGAATAATTTAATGAATGAGTAAATTAATTAATGAATGAACGAATATTTTCATTAATTTATGAGTGAATGAATGAATTGGTGAATGAATGGACTAAGAAATGGTTGAAATAATTAACTAATAAATGATTGAATGAAAGAATGGACGAATGAGCGAACGAACGAACAGACGAATGAATGAATGAATAGATAATTGAATAAAAAAAATCTTGTAAATATATAAACGAAAGAAGTAAAAAACGAAGGAACGAATGATGGAATGATGGAATGAATAAATCAATGAATGATTGATTGAATGAACTAACGAACGAACGAACGAGCGAACGAACGAGGGAACGAACGAGTGAACGAACGAACGAATGAACAAATGTAAACCTTATAAATCACAGATAATTTATCACAAAAATAAATAAAAAGTAAAACTTTTTATTATTTATAAAAATAATTATTCTGTCAAAAGATATATATGCGCTAAATGATCGAGATAAAACCATTGCATAACAAGTTAACGTCATGAACATAAAATATGATTGCTATTATTATTATTATTATTTTTTTATTATTATTGTTATTATTATTATTATTTTTATTATTCTTATTTTCGTTCCTGACATTTGCAGCAGGACCACTTCGGGGGATTTTTTTTAGTTTTATATTCGAATGTAACAATTTTTTTCATTCTCGGCGAAACGAAACGAGATTTTGTTTTAGAATCGTTTAATTGTTGTCCGTGTGTTGTGTTTTGCTGTTTGTTTGCTGTGTTTGTTTGTTTGCTGTGTTTGTTTGTTTGTTTGCTGTGTTTGTTTTTGTTGTTTGTGTTTGTATTTTTCCCCAGTTGTTTCTTGCTTTTATATAAAATTCAGATTTTCAAACTTACGAAAAAAAAATTTTCAATTTTTTTAACGATTCCGTCTCACTCACACACACTCACACATGCGCACACACATTCTAAACTCAAACACACAGACAAACCCACACACGCACAGCAACACATTCACGCACACAAACACACACAAGCAACACATTCACACACACAAACACACACACGCACACAGATTTGCACATGGATTCCTCCACCAATCTCTTTACACATCCACTGGTCCAGCATTTCAAATCGTTGACATTTGATCTCGAGGGAAGCAATATCATTGTCGGAGCCAGGTGGGCTGATGATGATGATATTACTGGTGATGATGATAATGATGACGATATTACTGATGATGATAACAATGATGATGGTAATGATGATACTTGAATTTCTACATGATACTTGACCCCATTGATGGAACCTTGATATGCATGAACTGTTTGAAAGTCAACTTTAATAGCATTCCTAAATATAAACTTGAAGTGATAAATAAATTAAAACTACCATCATCACCCTCATCACTATCACTATCATCATCATCGTCGTCATCATCATCACCATCGTTACAATCGTCATCATCATCACCATTGGGTTTCCGCATTCGGATAGAATTGGAAGAGATCCCCGTCCGTCATATGCAATGCGTGGTTTTCACGCGTATTCGTCATACACGCTGTGTGTGTGTGTGTGCGTGTGTTTGAGTGTGTGCGTGTGTTTGAGTGTGTGCGCGCGTATGTGTGTGCGTGGATGTGTGTGTTTGTCGTTGAAACCTCTGATGCAGGTTCACAAAGGAGAGATTGACCTTTAACTTTTTTGAATTTTTTTAACCAGGGACCACATAGTAAAACTGAGTATGGAGGATTTGAATGTGGTTGAGGTTCTGGAGTGGAAGGTGCCAATGGCGAGCCTAGTCAGGTGCAAGTCCTACAACTTCCAGGTCAGTGAGTGAGTGAGTGAGTGTGTGAGTGAGTGAGTGAGTGAGTGAGTGAGTGAGTGAGTTAGTGAGTGAATGAGTGAATGAGTAAGTAATATGAGTGTTATGTAATAACTTGTTAAAAAGTGACAAGCAAACAAACGAAGGAACAAAAGATGAATGAATGAACGGATGGATAGATATGTGAGTAAATAAATAATTAAATGGATGAATAAAATTAAAAAACAACCGGAAAAAGGTACAAACGAATGAATGAATAACAAACAGTATTACTGATAATGGCGAAAAAAATATAATGATAATGATGATGATGATGAAGATGATGATGACGACGATGATGACCATGAAGATGATGGTGATGGTGATGATGGCAAAAATTTTTTTTCCAGGCTGAAAATTGGCGCCAAGTTTTGTTTATTTGTCAACTCTGTCTTGTTAATGTTGTCCATTTACTCATTCACTCACTCATTCATCTGATGATAATGATGATGATGACGACAAGAGCGCTGATGATGATGATGATGGTGGAAACTTTGAAAATTTGGGTGGTAGTGAAGAAGAAGATGATGATGGGGACGACGACGATGATGATGATAATGTGACGAAATGATGACGATTATCAATATTTATGTTTACGCTGATAACATGACTATGATGATGATGACGACGACGATGATGATTAATATTATTACCATGGTGATAATGATGATTATTATTACTATGGTGATAATGATGATAATGATGATAATGATGTTGATAACAAAAAGAAAAAAATAGCTGCAAAGTTTTTTTTTCAATTTTTTTTTGTAGCAACTT